AAGGCACCCTCCATGCGCATAGGAGGCCTGATCACTCCTATTTTACTGAGTGCTGGAGTTCAGATAAGAGGTGAACCAATCGGTTTTAAGTTGATGGATGCACTTTATTTGGCCAAGACTACATTTTTTGAAGGTTCTGTGGGAGATTCCTTTGCCTATAATCTCAGTATTGGTTAGAAGGTGAAAGTGAGAGTGCTGCTGCCTAATCCTTCCCTCACTTCACTCTCTGAACAAAGAAACATCAGTTTCTATGTCACCAAGGATCAGCACTACAATCCAGAGATCAACCCTCCCATTAAAACAATCAGGAAGTTGGGGAAGCTGAAAGCTCCTGTTACTGATGCTGATGGAGACCAGGAACCGGTTCAGGAGGAGCCCTTGTTGCCAAACCCAGTGTATGGGAGTCATAGATACCTCTTTGACTCCTATGATGGTCAGATGTCCAATGAAGCCACTGTTGCTGCTCATTACCGAACCAAGAACCTTCAGAGGTGGAACAAGTGGCAGGACAAGAACACCAAGAAGCTGGTGGAGACAGTGAAAACTTTGGCAAGCAGAGTTAAGAGCATGGCTGCCAAAATCAAGAAGTTGAGTACAAAGCTTGAGAGGTTCCAAAGAGGAGAAGCTGGCGAGAGCTCTCACCAAGGGGAGTTACTTAAAATCTGCGGACCAGAGGATCATTCATCACCAGAGCTAGAGGAGGACGAGGTCAGAGCCAAGAGGGATGCCATGAGATCTCCATCAGACCGATCCAGCAATCCCTCCTACTCCATGGGGTCTCCAGCCCCATCTCTAAGTCCTTGAAAAGGTAAAACTCCATCATTGTAAATATGCATCTAGTTTAGCTTATTTTCTCTTTGCATTTTGTAATTTTGCTTTGCACTTCTCCTTCATGCTTTTATAACACAAGGGACTGTGTTATCTAAGTGTGGGGGAGGGGTTTTGTGTTTACTAATCATGTTTATTCTGCTCTTATTTTCCTTTTCACTTTTAGTCTCATTTTGCATTCATCTAAGTGCATATAAAAACCAAAAAAAAAATTAAAAAATCTGAAAAAAAATTCACAAAAAAAAAATGCTCATGTAGTTGCATTCACATTTTAGGATGAGTCTAGTTTGCATTTTCATATAGGTTGCATCATATGCAAATGGGAGTAATGATAGATTTTTTTCTTGAAGAGAGCATCATTTTAAGAGTTTGGTCCTTTAATGCATTGCAAAACTGGTATGAAATCAAGTGTGAACCATGCTTTCAACTGGTGTCTCAATACTTCTGTGCTAGCTGAATCAAGTTGTGAATAGCCTCAACCTTGCTTAAGTGAGAACCCTTGAATTTGACATCTAATTATCATGTTTGTGCATATCATTGTTAATTCATGGGTACCACATACATATTTGAGCTTTCTTATCTCTTTTAATCACTCTTGCTAGCTCAAATAGCTGATCTCTCATCTTGAGACAGTTCCCTGCCTTTAGCCAAACCTTTCTTTAAAGCCTAAATACCCTTCTTGTGTGCATGATTTTTGAGGCCTTGTTTCTAGTAGACTTGGTAAAAAGTGTTGGGTTTAGAGCGACAAAGATAGTGCTGCATGTAGACACTAGTCCAACATCAAGGGCTAGTCTAGGTTTAGGTGAAAGTGAGAGCATTGATTTTGAGTGTGTGAGCTGAAAAGAAAAAATCTGAGTGATGAAAGTGGAAAGAACCAGATTGGTTAGGGGAATGAATGCTTAAATGAAAGAAAGTAAGTGTGTGCTGAAATGTAAAGTTCATGTGTTGAAATGAAAAGAGTCTCATGAAAAGAAAACAAAAAAAAAGAAAAGATTCAAAAAGAGGCTGGATTAAGGAAGAGCTTGTGTGTTAAAGAAAAGAAACTCACTAAGTGGTTGTTAAAGAAAGCATTCCCCTAAGAGATCAAATGAAGAGAGTGATGAGAGCTGATTGAGTGTCAAATGCAAAATGCCATTTGGGGTGAGTAGACTAGAGAAAGAGTCTTGAGAGGTTTAAAGTTGAGTGTGAAAAGCATTTTGGGTGTGAGGTAGATGCAGTTCTATCTTTGTATGCATCCATTGCTTTTTACCCTTAGCATTTTACTAAAGTCTACAAATTTTTGAGTGATCCCCTTGCATGGAGTGTCAGTTACTTGATTGAGATCATCTTAATCTCAAACACCAGTCCTAAGCCAAATGAATTCACTTGATTTGCATGAACATGATCCACTCGAAACTTAAAAAGAATGTCAAAAGGTTGAGGTTAGGAATGCTTGTGAAGGTTGGTGCTTGAGTTTGGTTCATTTGTTGACAAGTATGGCTAATTTTTATGAGTAAACCAGTTTGCATTGCAGTCTAGAATTGGTAACTTGAACAATGAGCTTTGAATTCTTTTAATGATGATCTCTCTTTAAAGAAATATGAACTCCCATGCATTCAACCTCTCTCTCTCTCTCATTTGTTCTTGTTTGCTTGAGGACAAGTGTGGGGGAGTTGATATACTCATATTTTATCATGTTTAGGATTGCATTTTTGTCCAAATATTGAGTCTCATGCAAACATTTAGCTAGTTTTATTAGAGTTTGCCTTTGGTTCTGATTTTGTTTAAGATTTGCATTAGGTCCTAGAGTGTCCTGCATTTTTGGAGTATTCTCTGGTCATTTGGAGACTTTTGGGAGCAACTTGGAGCTGGGATCATGGATGAACCCTCGCCTGTGTACAGCAACTCGGACAGATGGTTTGGTGTAGACGAGACCTTCACTTTGATCGCGTGGGACGAAGGACTTGCAATGCGATTCAACCTCCAGTGTCTTTATCAAGAATCAATAGGAATGAGTCTAACTTCCGGAACACTTGGAATCAGACGATTTGGAGCCGTGAACTGGGAGATATCGCCATCGGAAGGAACACATGTCTCGCGGCCCGGTCAAGTCTTACGCGATGCGCCTCAAAGAACCGACGAGACGGGGGCTCTGCCAATGTCATACGGGGTTGAGTCCTTCACAAAACTTGGAGCTAATGACGTCATCTGGTTCGTGGAGTTGGAAGATCGAATTTCGGACCAGTGAGCAAGGAGTTATGAAGGATTTGGTGCAAGCGGTCTACGTTCATATCGAGAAGGAATACCGACCAAAATCTGGTCGGTATTACCTTGGAACCTTGACGTTTTTGGCTGGTTATTGGAAGCCAAATTACCGAAGAATTATCGACATGCTGCACCGACTGAATTCTGCTCGGTATTGATCCCCTGAAGCTATCCTTAACGCTGCACCGAGGTGAGTTCAGCCGGTATAGCGCCTCGGTGTAACCACTCTCAGTTTGCCGAAGAAATATCGACGTCCTGCACCGGCCAAAATCACCTCGATACATTCTCGCTTCATGACATTTGTGTGGGCCTTTTTGGGGCCAAAACCTAGTTTGTCCTAGGTTGGCCCAGCAAGAAACCCTACCTATATATATGTTTTAGGCATTATCCAGCATACTAAGCTTTATTCTCTTTGTTTTCTTTGCCTCTTTTGTGAAAAACCTAAACCTTGTAAGAGAGATCTTCATGGTTGAATCAAGAGAGTAATTAGGGTTTAAAGCTGAAATCCATCATTATCTATCATTTCCATCTTCATCTTCCATCCCTTTGTGAGTTTTAATCAGAGAGATTGAGACATTTCTGTGTTTAAAGCTGCAAACTCATCATTATCTATCATCTCCATCTCCATTTCTCATCATTAATCATGCCAATCTTCTCAACTTGCAAAGGTTTAAGAGAGATTAGTATGATTAGTGAGTAGTTTAGCTTAATGAGGTTCTAGATGTGTAGGTTAGGGTGCTAAGGTGTTAGATTAGGAGTGCTTAGGGCTAGATTCATTGATTCATTACTCTAAACAGCTGTTCTCTAGGCTAGATCTTTGCACATCACTTGTGATCTAGATTTTGGGAATTTCATGCACCACAAGTGTTTGATGAAACTCCTGAAAGAGCTGTATTAGAGGTTTAAGCATTTGCTGCATGATGATGCTTTGTTATTTGCTTGAATGATCTTTCAGAACTGTTTCTTAATGCTCATTGATTCATATTTCACAAATGATGATTTGGTTTGAAAATGGATTAGTGTAGATGTTAATGCCTTCATGAGAGAATTAATCTAGATTAGAGTTCTAAATCACTTGAATCATGTCTCATCATTGTCATTAGCATTCCTGATTTAGCATCAAAGCACCCTAGCCAACTATCATGTCTGGAATCTCATGCTCCCATCATCTCATATCATCTCATCTTGCTTAGTTGACACTGCTTGCTTGTTTATTTGATCATTCATCTTTGTTTTAGTTTAAATCTTGTTTTAGGCACTAGTCACAAACAATCGTCACTATTTGCTTGAATTAAGAAACTGTTTTATATTCTAGTGTCTACCACACATTGGATTGATAAACCCTTTATGCTGCAACAGCTAAGGGATTGTTAACCCCTATTTAGAGCTTAAAAACCTCTAGTTACCACTTCCCTGCTCAATATGGTCCAAAACTCCACGGTTTGTCCATGGAATATCCTTTAGAGCATCTAGATCAGTTTGATCGTGTTTGTGACCTCACCAAGATAAACGGGGTATCAGAAGACAGCTTCAAACTCGGCTTGTTCCCATTTAGTCTTGGTGATAAAGCGCATCAATGGGAGAAGAATCTTCCAAGGGGAACTATACAGACATGGGAGCAATGCAAACTAGCGTTTCTCTCAAACTTTTTCTCCATATCAAGGACGGCTAAGTTGAGAAATCAGATCTCGAGTTTCACACAACACACCAATGAAAGCTTCGGTGAAGCTGGGAGAGGTTTCGAAGATGTACTAACCAATGTCCACACCACGGTTTCTCGGAGGCTTCCCTTCCAAGCACTTTATACCGAGGTGCAGTTCCAAAGATAAGGAACCAACTTGATACATCATCAAATGGGAACTTTCTTGGGAAGGAGATCAACGCAGCAATGGAGCTTGTGGAGAATCTTGAAATGTTAAATGATACCTATGGTGAGGATTTCGACAGAGCTAACCGATCTGATAGGTCTAGTAAAGAAATTGCGTATGGAAAAAGACATCAGGGAGCTACATAACAAGCTAGACAAAGTGCTTGTGGCTACACAAAAGCCAATTCACTTTGTAGGTGAGTTTGATGAGCAAGGGCCAAGCTTTGACAATGTGAATAAGGATGGTCTCACACAAGAAGAGATCAACTATATTGCGAACCAACAAAGGTATCAGAGGTTCAATAACTATGAACCAATCAGAATCCCTCTTACCACAACCCCAGTGTAGCCAATCCTCAAGATCAGGTGTACCCTGCTCAACAAAACCAACCAAGCTATGCTCCTAAAGATCCATTTCAGAACAGTTTTCAGCCAAAACAACAGTTCGGTGGGAAACAACAGAGTTATGGACAGCAGAATCAACCGGCTCAAGGAAAAAATTACAACAGCCAACCGCAGTAACACAAGTTTCCACCAGGGTTCAGTCCACAGCTGATGGGTCAGCAGCAAGAGCAGCAAGCACCGGTTCAGAGTCAGATGGGACCAGATATGTGTGGGCTTCTACAACAGCTACTACAGAGTCAACAAAGGGTTGAGAGTCAGTATGCGTCCATGCAACAAGATATCAGGGAGCTTAAGCAGAATCAAGCTTCCACATCATCAAGAGGACCAGCTTTACCTGGTAAAGCGGAACCAAATCCCAAGGAATATGTGATGGTGGTCTTGATGTGTGGTGTCGAGGGTTGTCAAGTTTTACCCTAATTGAAATCAATAGCCGCAAGTGCACAGCTGATCAATTGTAGTACTTAGGGATCGAATCCACAGGGAAGGATGATCTTTTTCTGCAAAAAGCCTTTGAAATAAGTTAAAGTAAGGAAGTCTAGAACAAAAACGGTTTAGTGGGGGTTTAGTAGTGTGTTAAAATCTAAAAACGAAATATTAAAAGAGAGTGCAGAAATTAAATGGCGTAATAACTAAACTTAACGAAAATAACTAAATATGATAAAAACGGATATTCTAATGCTTAAATGAAAATGAACTAAAAAGGAAAGACAATATTGAATTAAAGCTTAAAGAAAAATCGCAGGAAATCAATGGAGAAAAAAGCGTTGGGGTTTAGGGAAGTTTTCTCAGGGGTACGAACGATTCAAAACATTGCTAGAGAGTAAATTTTGTAAGATCTTAGCTTAAACTTTTCGAACTGCAGTCACGGACGTATGAATACGCCACTGTCGTGATCATAGACAACTATCTCTCTCAACCCTGACCAGTAGGTTTCCACTCTGGCCCTGGAAGAGAAGAGATGCATTATGTTTAAGACTTGTCCTAATTCACAAATCGCCCATAGGTAGCTTTCCACTCCTATGTTTGTTTTGCTCTCCTAAATTAGATCTGATACCTGATGAACACTTTCGTGTCACCAAGCATCTGGATCAGATTGTAGTTCATGACGCTACCCTCATGCAGTAAAAACGAATTCAGAAGAAAAAGTTCTAAGATTCAGCTCAATAGCCAATGGAATCCTCACTGAACATATAAATCCCCATCGAAAATCCCTTAATCCCAACAATAAAACTACTCAGACATAATGAACGAAATTAAAGACAAAATATTAAGAAGTAGAATAGAAACCGAAATTGATAAAGAAAGAACAAGGGTTTAAGAGAACAAATCTCTCTCTCCCTAAAAGCTAAAGCAAAAACAATAAAAATATGAAGTAAATATTTCGGTGGTGATAGGTTACACGATTTCTAGGGCTCCTAAGACATGTATTTATAGTGCTCAAGACCTCTCTGGACGTCACTTAGGGTTTCTCCAAATGTGGGCTTCAGAAATGGGCTTTTTGGGCTTGGAGGTTGAAGGCCGCGGTCGGGAGTGCTCTGACTGCGGGGAATGTATGGTTTGTCGATGTCGGGATGCTCCTGGCCGCGGGAAAATGCTTGTTGGCCGCGGGTGGAAGTGCTGGCCAGCTAGTTTACGGGACATCTTGCTCTTCGCGTATCTTTTGATTGAACCGTTGGATTTCCAAGCTGTAAAGTGCACTGGCAAGCTGATACTTCCATCTTTAAGGTCTCCAAATTTGAGCTGGATCAGACGGTGAGAAGGCCTTCAATCAGGGGTGAACTTCTGACGGTTTTATTCTGAGCTGAAATCTGGTTTTCTGTCCATTTTGTAAAGTTTTTCCCTAAATTACCTGAAAAGAGTCTTGGAACTACAAATACTAGAAAAACGTGATAAAAGTACTTAAAAGCAATTAAAAACATATAAAAAGTATTTCAAAACGATCCATAAAAGTGGTCAAAATACGGTGTTATCAACTCCCCCAGACTTAAACCTTTGTTTGTCCTCAAACAAAGCAAAAGCCTAAATTGGTTAAGTGAAAACAAAAATAGGGAATGCACAAATCTCATAGACATGAACTCCTAAACTAGGACCAAAGATAGTGCATAAATCCACAACTTAGTCTAGAAAATTCTCATTAAAGCACAAGAGATACTAGTCCACTTTTTCCGTCATGCAAAACTTAAACAATCTAAATCTTGATTTCAGTCAACTAGCTCTCTACATTCATTAAGTTCAATAGTAAGTTCTCATTAAAGACATCATCCAGGGTAGACGGCGTTTGGCGTTAAAAGGCTATTTAAGTGGTGGAGTTAAAGTGTTTCAGGTTACCTGAAGATCTGGAGGATGCAAGATAATATGCAAAACCGCAAGAGAGATAAGGACCTGTTGATGACCACAGTTTTCAATCACTTCTTCTTGCCAAATGTTGTTGCATAATCCTTCCTCCTTCGTTGTAAACAGCTGTTCCCCCAGACTTAGATTTTTTTCGGGAATCAGAAAACAATCTCCAAAACTCCATAAAATTGAACTCCAGTTGCCTTGGGACTTAAAATTCGACCTCTCTAGACTCTCTAAGGCTTTTATTTCCTTTCTTTTCTTGTTTTCGGATTTTTTTTTTTTGGAAAGGAAATGCCGTTTAGGGAGAGAGAGACTAGAGGACGAGATTGTACCAAAATTCGAGATTTTTCTAAGGCAAACTGAGCTTCCTCTTGTGTTGAATCCTTCTGGGAACTTTTCCGGCAAATCGCAGGTCTCTGTCTTTGGTGACTGAAAACTGCGTCGTTCCTCTTTCTCTCCAACGTTTTTGCACTTATCTGCATATAAGACAATAGAAAACAAGAGTGCATGTGGTTTGAAAGAGGATTGGTTAAGGTGGGGAACTAGCTAAAGATGAACTAGCCATTCAGGATCAACAGAGAGTGGTAAAAGGATAAAGGAGTCCTGAATGTATGATTCGTTTCCCTGGTCTAATGCTTCAATGAGAAAATTAAGTCCAAATTAAGTCCAAATAAAACAGAGCTAGTGTATCCCTTCATCTAAATCGAAATCATTCAAATTTCTCTGGGGTACTTCGTTTCAAATGTGCTTAGCTACCGCCTAGTCTAGTCCTAAATCATGAATGAGCAAGTCACTAGGAACAGTCTAAAGCACACAGTCAACTATCATTGATTCATGTTCACCATTCCCTTTTAAAACGTATTTTGTTTTGAAAATCGATTTTGAAAAACTTTAAGGAAAATGCAAAAAGTTAGATAATGCAAGACTCATGAACGAAAAGTGGTTAGAAAGGGATGAAATCCTCCCCCAGACTTAAATTACACTGTCCTCAGTGTGAAACAAGTCGAGATTGGATGAGAAAAATGCATAAATAATCGAATTGGTAAGGACAAAGAGAACTTACCTGGATCCGGGATGCTGGTGGAGATGAACCGGATTCATTCGAAGGGGTTTGGGAAGGTGATTAGGTGGTGATGAAGGTGGTGGAAGGTGATGAATGAGGTGGAGGGTGATTGGTGAGGTGGAATGGGATGAAAGGGGTGGTTTGGGTCGGGTTTGATGTCAACGACCAAGTGCCGCGGTCAGGGGCTGCACGACCGCGGCAAACAAGCACTTGGCCGCGGTCAGGATTACGCGACCGCGGCCGACGGTAGGTTTCCCGCGGTCAGAACGTCTGCGACCGCGGGGGCTTATATCGCGGCCTCTTCCTGCTTCTCCTTGGTTCCTGCTGGGCCGAGCAGTCAGGTACCATCCTTCTTTTTGGTTTTTTTCTGGTTTTTTTTTTATTTTTTGGCTTTTTGGTTTTATAAGAAACACCTGAAACTAAGAAAAAGAAAAAGATCAAAAGAAAAAGAAAGAAAATTTCTAAAGAAAACAATACCTAAATGGGTTGCCTCCCATTAAGCGCTTTTGTTTTAAGTCGTTTAGCTCGACTTTTGGTGTTGGACGTGACTTATTCCAATGAAGAAGACCTTGTCCTGAGACAAGTCTTTTTCGACATCTCTTTGCTTTGCTTAGTAGGTTCTTCGTCACTCCAAAGTTCTTCTTCAAACTCTTCAGTTGCAGAACGTTTTCCTGCTTTGCTGTTGTATGGGACAGCTTCTGTGAAGACATCTTTGTCGATATTAGCAAATGAAATCCTCCGGTTTGGCCAGTCCATTATAGCTCCGGAAGTTGCTAGAAAAGACCATCCCAGAATCACTGGATATGTTGCATCTCTCGTTTCGACAATGTAGAAGTCGACGGGCACTATGCAATCTCCTATTCTCAAAGGAATTTCATGAGCTATTCCTTGAGGTGTTGCATTTGAATCATCAGCTAAGCTGATCTTTGCTCTAGTCCTGCGCAGGTGTTTGATACCAAGTCTCAAAGCAATTGCCTTGGACATCATGTTAAGACAAGCTCCAGAATAACAAAGCACGTTTTTAAACATTTCTCCTCTAATAGAACAATAGATAAGAAACTGACCTGCACCTTCTATTTTGTGAAGTGTTCGAACAGGTTTACCTTTTCTGGCATGATTGAACAAGTCTTCTATCTCAGGGATTGATTCTTTGCTCTCACAGAAGTAGTGGCCTATCATGAAGTCCTTGCAAGCTTTGGCAAACGTGATTCCTTCAGGCAAATTTCGAACCACATCATTGAATTCGTCAAGCTTTTCCTTGCTGATTTTGTTGGTGTAGTGGCTGCAGTCTTCCGGATTTTTTAGGTGAATCGCATAGACAGCTGCTTCTGGTGTTGTCATATATCGAGCTCTCATAAAGTATCTATGGATATCCTCTTTAGCCTCCTTGCAGTACCTGAAAAAGACTTGCAAACGACCAAGTCTCCAGATTTCATTAAAGCTTAAATGAGCAGGGAATGACCTGACTACGTTGTTGAACTCCATTAGCTTCTCTCTACTGATATTGTTGGTGATCCATTGAATTTCTCCTGAGTCATCTTCTGAGGAATATCCTGCGTTTGGATCTTCTACAAACAACCCATACTCTTCATCTTCAGAGTATTGCTCTTCATACTCATCTTCACAAGACAAAGCCATGTTGCAAGGCCATAACTTGTCCTCTTCTTCAGATCTTTGGGTGCTTATGGAGCAAACCAGTTGTTGTTGAAGTGGTTTAGTCATCCCAGGAGGTGTACCAGACGTACAGATGCTTGTATGAGCTGAACGGGACTGTTTTGGAACGTTTTTACGGTTGGCCTTGACTGCAGGTGACGTGACCGCGGGGAAGCGACCATGGGCTGCGGGCAGACCCATCACGACCGCGGGGGAACGCCTGTTGGCCGCGGTCGGAGCCAACACGACCGCGGGGATTTGCCTCCGAGTTGCTCTGCTGCTGTTGCTTCCTCCTTTGCCTCCTTGGTGGTCTCCTGGGTCTTCTGGCTTGATGTACTTCCTCTCTGGGCTTGAGTCTTTAGTTTTGGTTGTTGGAATCTGCTCTCCAAGTCCTTGCATGATCTCCTCAACCTTTTCTTCAACTTCATCAAGAGCATAGACTACTTTGTCCATGGTTGAGTCAAGCTCTTCGGTTTTGTCAATGACTTTGTAAACCTTCTCTGAAACTTCGACTGTAAAGTCATAAGACTCGTTCTTGGCTTCGTTTAGGGCTTTGTCCACGTCATCAAGTTTGAAATCCAGGTCCATGACTTTGTTTTTGGTGTTGCGAAGCTCATAGTTGTGCTTTGCTTGCTCTTTCTCCATGCTGTTGAACCTGTTAGCAATCATAGCTGCATCCTTGGTTGCACGTTCCTCTATTGAATTGACTTGTGAGGCTAGGTTATCGATTTTTTCATTGAAAAGTTTTGATATCCCATCAATCCTTTCGTTTAGAGCAGTTGTAGCGGTTGCTTGAGCTTCTATGAACTGTCTGATCACGCCTTCGAGCTGGCTCAGTCTGTTACTGAGCTGGACGTTCTCATCTTGCTGGAGAACTTGGTGAGGTAGGCGATACATAGAGTATCTAGGGTTTGCCATCTCAGGTCCGTAGGGCTCCATCTGGAACGTTCTGTAGTCTTCGGTTTGAGTTTTTTCGTAGAGATCGCGTAGATGCTTCTCTCTGCTTCTGGTGGCTTGAGGAGTGTTATAGAAACCTTCCTCATAGTGTATATTTCGATTTATAGGATCCATATCTTCTGAAATGGAAACAAAATAACCGAAAAATAGAAAGTTTCAGAAAAGGGGGTTCTAGAGTCGATTTACTAACCTTTCTCGGGGTTTTGCAGAAAAGAAAACGCGTGCCTTCCCCGGCAACGGCGCCAAAACTTTGATGGTGGCCTTGATGTGTGGTGTCGAGGGTTGTCAAGTTTTACCCTAATTGAAATCGATAGCCGCAGGTGCACAGATGATCAATTGTAGTACTTAGGGATCGAATCCACAGGGAAGGAGGATCTTTTTCTGCAAAAAGCCTTTGAAATAAGTTAAAGTAAGGAAGTCTAGAACAAAAACGGTTTAGTGGGGGTTTGGTAGTGTGTTTAAAATCTAAAAACAAAATATTAAAAAAGAGTGCGGAAATTAAATGGCGTAATAACTAAACTTAACGAAAATAACTAAAAATGATAAAAACGGATATTCTAATGCTTAAATGAAAATGAACTAAAAAGGAAAGAAAATATTGAATTAAAGCTTAAAGAAAAATCGCAGGAAATCAAAGGAGAAAAAAGCGTTGGGGTACAGGGAAGTTTTCTCAGGGGTACGAACGATTCAAAACATTGCTAGAGAGTAAATTTTGTAAGATCTTAGCTTAAACTTTTCGAACTGGAGTCACGGACGTATGAATACGCCACTGTCGTGATCATAGACAACTATCTCTCTCAACCCTGACCAATAGGTTTCCACTCAGGCCCTGGTAGAGAAGAGATGCATTATGTTTAAGACTCGTCCTAATTCACAAATCGCCCATAGGTAGGTTTCCACTCCTATGTTTGTTTTGCTCTCCTAAACTAGATCTGATACCTGATGAACACTTTCGTGTCACCAAGCATCTGGATCAGATTGTAGTTCATGACGCTACCCTCATGCAGTAAAAACGAATTCAGAAGAAAAAGTTCTAAGATTCAGCTCAATAGCCAATGGAATCCTCACCAAACATATAAATCCCCATCGAAAATCCCTTAATCCCAACAATAAAACTACTCAGACATAATGAACGAAATTAAAGACATAATATTAAGAAGTAGAATAGAAACCGAAATTGATAAAGAAAGAACAAGGGTTCAAGAGAACAAATCTCTCTCTCCCTAAAAGCTAAAGCAAAAACAATAAAAATATGAAGTAAATATTTCGGTGGTGATAGGTTACACGATTTCTAGGGCTCCTAAGACATGTATTTATAGTGCTCAAGACCTCTCTGGACGTCACTTAGGGTTTCTCCAAATGTGGGCTTCAGAAATGGGCTTTTTGGGCTTGGAGGTTGAAGGCCGCGGTCGGGAGTGCTCTGACCGCGGGGAATGCATGGTTTGCCGCGGTCGGGTTGCTCCTGACCGCCGGAAAATGCTTGTTGGCCGCGGGTGGAAGTGCTGGCCAGCTGGTTTACGGGACCTCTTGCTCTTCGCGTATATTTTGAATGAACCGTTGGATTGCCAAGCTGTAAAGTGTACTGGAAAGCTGATACTTCCATCTTTAAGGTCTCCAAATTTGAGCTGGATCAGACGGTGAGAAGGCCTTCAATCAGGGGTGAACTTCTGACGGTTTGACTCTGAGCTGAAATCTGGTTTTCTGTCCATTTTGTGAAGCTTTTCCCTAAGTTACCTGAAAAGAGTCTTGGAACTACAAATACTAGAAAAACGTGATAAAAGTACTTAAAAGCAATTAAAAACATATAAAAAGTATTTCAAAACGATCCATAAAAGTGGTCAAAATACGGTGTTATCAATATGTCAATGCCATCACTTTGAGAAGTGGGAAAGAGTTACAAGCCCCTAAACCTAATGAGCAGATCGGTGGGGGGGTAGCCTCAAGTGATGAGCAGATCGGTGGGGGGGTAGCCTCAAGTGATGAGCAAAAGAATGAGGATTTAAAAAGGGAACCGGCTAAAGAAAAAGCTAAAGAGGTGGAGAAGGCACCTGAGCTTGAAAAGCCATACGTTCCACCACCTCCCTATCAGCCTAAGATAACATTTCCAGGGCGGTTCAAAAAGAAAATCTTAGATAAAGCCAAAGCAGTTTTTGAAAAGCACTTAGAGAATACTCAGATGACATTGCCGATTGTAGAAGCTTTCCTAATGATTCCTCAGCTTGGGAAGTTTCTAAAAGACGCAATACTTAACAAGACGAAGGAGCTTCAAAGCACGGTCATCTTGAGTCATGAGTGCAGTGCCATCATTCAAAGAAGATCAGTGCCAAGAAAGCTTTCAGACCCTGGCAGTTTCACTTTGCCATGTGCAATCGGTCCATTGAAGTTTTCAAGCTATCTATGTGACTTGGGAGCTTCTGTGAGCTTAATGCCTTATTCAGTTGCTAAAAGACTTGGGTTCAAGAGCTATAAACCGGCAAAGATCTCCCTTATTCTAGCTGATAGATCATCGAGGTTACGATAGGTCTACTTGAAGATCTGCCTTTGAAGATTGGAGAAATAGAGATCCCCACAGATTTCATAGTTCTAGAGATGGATGAGAAGCCTGTGAATGCCATCATCTTGGGAAGACCCTTTTTGGCAACAGCAGGAGCGATCATTGACGTGAGAGGAGGAATGATCGAGCTACACATCGGTTCTGAAACCATGAAGTTTGATATAAAAGAAATGATGAAGAAACCGACCATTGAAGGTCAAGTTTTCTACATAGAAACCATGAAGGAGCTATCCAATGAGCTCCTTGAGGAGTTAAACGCAGAAGGCCCTTTACAAGTGGTCTTGACAAAGGAACAAAGCGAGCATGGGTTCTTGAATGAAGAAAGCGAGGTATACAAACGTTTCTTGGATCAGCTGAGGGAACTTGAGGCTGAAACGAGATTTTTGGAGCTCAGGCAGAGTGGTCTCGAGACTTTGGACATCAGAGAGTCCAACACAGTTGGGGATACACCTCGGGGTCTCATGGCAGCGGCATCAGATGTCGAGGGCAGTGGTAAATGCCGAGGGAGCTGTTCCGGGGCAATGCAGCTTTGATGCTGATTGGGATGAGGCAAAGGCACCCCCAGTTGAGCTCAAGCCTCTACCAACAGGGCTCAGGTATGCTTTCTTAGGCTCAAATTCTTCATACCCCGTAATCATCATGTTAGCTCATGAGGAACATGCATTGGTTATCGAGCTTAGAAAGTTCAGGAAAGCAATAGGTTATTCTTTGGCCGATATTAGAGGAATCTCTCCTGACATGTGTACCCACAGGATCCACCTAGAAGACTAATCTATGTCTTCTATTGAGCATCAAAGACGTCTTAACCCGAACCTTAATGAGGTTGTTAAGAAAGAGATACTCAAGCTTCTTGAGGCAGGGATAATATAACCAATCTCTGACTCAAGATGGGTATCTCCTGTCCATGTGGTGCCCAAGAAAGGTGGTGTCACAGTGGTAAAGAATGAGAGGGATGAGTTCATTGCTATAAGAACCATAACCGGTCATCGCTTGTGTATTGATTACAGAAAGCTTAACTCTGCATCTAGAAAGGATCATTTCCATTCATAGATCAGATTCTTGAGAGACTAGCTAACCATCCCTACTTCTGTTTTCTTGATAGGTACTCGGGTTTCTTTCAAATCCCCATAGATCCCCGAGACCAACAGAAAACTACATTCACATGCCCCTACGGCACATATGCATATAGACGTATAACCTTTGGCCTTTGTAATGCACCTGCGACCTTCCAAAGGTGCATGATGCACATCTGTTCTGACCTCATTGAAGAGAAGGTGGAGGTCTTTATGGACGAATTTTCCGTCTATGGTTCCTCCTTCTCCGATTGTCTTTCTAACTTGTCACAGGTTTTAAAGAGATGTGAAGAGCACAGGCTTGTCTTGAATTGGGAGAAGTGCCATTTCATGGTGCAAGAGGGCATCATGTTGAGTCACAAGGTCTCTGAGAAGGGTATAGAGGTTGACAAGGCAAAGATAGAGGTCATGGTGAATCTGCAGCCTCCGAGTTCAGTCAAGGGTATAAGAAGCTTCTTGGGGCATGCCGGCTTCTATAGAAGCAATCTTTAAGATCAAGGAAGCCCTTGTTAGTGCACCAATTGTTCAAGCTCCTGATTAGTCTTTACCATTTGACGTGATGACAGATGCATCAGACTATACCGTGGGAGCAGTTTTGGGGCAAAAAAGGATAAATAGCTGCATGTGATCTATCACGCGGGCCACACCTTGGATTCAGCTCATGAGAAATACGCCACCACTGAGAAAGAAATGCTGGCCATCGTGTTTGCATTTGACAAATTCAGGAGCTACCTTGTGGGTTCAAAGGTCATTGTCTATACGGATCATGCAGCTTTGAGATATCTCATGACCAAAAAGGATGCTAAGCCAAGGCTTCTTAGGTGGGTTCTCTTGTTACAAGAATTTGACATGGAGGTGCAAGACAAAAAGGGAATTGAGAATAGAGCTGCCGACCATCTCTCATGGTTAAGAGTTGAATCAAAAGTGCCTCTAGATGATGCTTTACCGGAAGAGCATCTAATGTTGGTCAAGTCTTACTTAGAGGCTGAAGACACCAATACAATCAAAGAGAGAAGCCTCCCATGGTTTGCTGATCTCGTGAACTATCTCTCATGCGGTTTAGAGCCACCTGAATTGGATTCCTATCAGAGGAAAAAGTTCTTTAAAGATGTGATGAGGTATCATTGGGATGATCCGTATTTATATGTGCTTAACAAAGACCAACTTTATATAAGGTGTTTAGTTGAAGAACGCCACAGTTCTGCTTATGGTGGGCACTTGGGAGCATTTAAAACAGTTGCTAAAGTGTTACAATGTGGCTTTTGGTGGCCAATGATGTTCAGAGATGCCCAAGCTGTCGTTTCAAGCTGTGAATCATGTCAAAGACATGGTAATATCTCCAAAAGAAATGAGATGCCTCAGAATCCGATCCTTGAGGTGGAGGTCTTCGACTGATGGGGAATAGACTTCATGGGGTCCTTCATATCTTCACACGCCAACCAATACATTATGGTGGCCGTAGACTATGTGTCTAAATAGGTTGAGGCAATTGCAAGCCCCACAAACGATTCTAAGGTGGTTTGTAATCTTTTCAAAAGCATTATCTTCCCACGTTTTGGAGTACCAAGAGTTGTAATCAGCGATGGGGGCAGCCACTTTATCAATAAGACCCTTGAGGGCTTGTTAAAGAAGCACGGTGTGAAGCACAGGGTGGCTAGTCCTTACCACCCTCAGACAAGCGGTCAAGTGGAGGTTTCAAATTGACAGATCAAAGCAATACTGGAGAGGACCATGAACAATTCAAGAAAAGATTTGAGCAAGAAGCTTGATGATGCTTTGTGGGCCTACAGAACCGCTTACAAGACCCCTATAGGCACCTCACCGTTTAACTTGTTGTATGGTAAGAGCTTTCATTTACCGGATGAGTTAGAGTACAAGGCCTTGTGGGCTGTGAAGCTATTGAACTTTGACATCAAGATGGCTCAAGAGAAAAGGGTTCTACAGCTTCATGAACTTGAAGAGATTAAGTAAGATGCTTTTGAAAGCTCTAAAATCTACAAGGAAAAGACCAAGGCGCTTCATAACAAGAAGATACACAAGAGAGAATTCAAAGAAGGGGACCAAGTGTTGTTGTTTAACTCAAGACTTAAGCTATTCCCTGAAAAGCTAAAGTATAGGTGGTCCGGGCCATTTAAGGTTCTTGAAGTAAGACCATATGGAGCCGTTGTGTTAGAGGGTAAAGATGGACAAGGCTTTGTTGTGAACGGTCAAAGGGTTAAACACTACCTGGTGTCTGAAACGAGAGAGCGAGCTACCTCAGTTCCTCTTCTTGAACCCCAAACCGCCTAAAAAGGTAAGTAAAGTCAAACTTAAAGACGTTAAACAAAGTGCTCTTGGGAAACACCCCAAGCTTATCCTTGTATATATTTCATTTTGATCTTTCTTTTTCTTTTTATTTTGAGCTTTTTGAAGGTTTTGTTAAGTGGTTTCAGGTCTAAGCTACATTCTAGATGTGAATCCTGAAAGAACAGGTGCAAGAAGGCTTAAAGAAGACACGGTTTTGTTGGCCTCGGTATTGAGCCTCGGTATAATCATGCTATGTTCATCTTTTACCGCGTGAATATTTCAAAACCTCGGCTAAATTCCTCGTCTTAATAACACCGGGGGCCGTATAAACAGGAGAAGGAAAGTTTAAAAAGACTAAGTGTGGGGGAAGACCCCCGGTGTAGACACCTCGGTATAAACATGCTTAAAACCTCAACCTGAGGCCGCGACCTGTTTACACCGAGGCCGAGTCACTTAAACCCCCAAGCACCAAGTATTCTACGTCAAAACAGGTTCCCTCGGCATTATGCCCTCGTGTTGGAGCACGTCGAGGTGCCTGGCAACGAGAAAAGAGCAAAAATAGAACACTTGGGACACTTAAGTCTAAGAAAAGGTTTAAGCGGTCAATGGAAAAAACTTGAGGGACAAGAAAATTTCTGTGTTAGCATGAGCTCTAAGCCCTTGGTCTGGTACCCTCGGGTGGAACATATCAAGGCCGCTTGTGTGAAACCCAGAAAAATGAGATAAGCATGTATGGCCCTCATCTTATCCACACTGCGGTCATTTAAAGGCTTTGCGCGGCAAAACGAGTTTTAACGCTCAGTCAAAGTGTTTTTAGGCGCGGTCAACGGCTGGAGTCTTTGAGAAAGGGGGGGACCAGTGTCACAACAGTCCAAACGCCAGCTGGAAAAGAGACTCCAGCCATACCTGCCTCCATACCGAGCCAAAACGCAGAGTTTGCCTTCTTCACCCTTTTCTCTGCATTTCACGAGCATATTTCTCTCATTTCTCATTCATTTCACGCGATTTCAAGTGCTCTGAACTCATTAGAGTGTTTTCTTTCCTGCATACGCATCTCATTGAGCTTGAATCCTGTGTTCCCAAAGGTATATGCATTCTAAAGAACTCACTTTTTTCCATTATCGTTTGCAAGCTGTCTTGTTTGTAAAATGTGGAATCGATTCTTTTAGGCTGTTAGAAACTTTGAGAACAATTTTAGAAATTCCATCAGGATAGACAACACATGAAAAACCGGTTTTTGCACTGAAAATCGCCTGTTCTTGAGATTTTAAAATTCATGAGAAATTGTGCTTTAAATCAGCTTTAGTGGTGAAATGGTTTCTCGGCTGAGTTGCTTGCTTTTCTCTGTGTTTAGCAATTTTATTGACTCGTTTCTTGATCACTTTGAGAACCATTGAACTATCAGCTTTTGAGAAAGCTCTGTTCTTGCTTCTTCTTTTAGACTTGTGCTTAGCTATATACTCGGTGCTTATTCTCTTTTTGAGGATTCTCTTTCAGATGACTGAAAGGACAGCCGCTGTAGCCCAAGGTAAAGAAGTCCAGAGGAAGACCAACAAAGGCAAGGCCGTGGACTCAGAAAGACCTGGAGGAACAAGTAAGAAATCCTCC